CGCTGCTGGCCCCCGAGGCCCACGCGGCCAGGAGGCAGGCCTCCAACCTCGTCGAGCGGTTGTGCGTTCCAGCCGAGCTCTGTAAAGTGAAGTAGCAGCCCTGTCCAGCTTTTTTGCGTCCTGTGCTCATTTCGCCTGCTGGGAGAAGCCCCTCTGCGCTTTGCTCGGAGCCCTGCACACTTGATCTCGTCCACGAGAGTTGCCACTTGAGCCACTGTTGTGTGGGCCTCCGAATACCTTTGCTCCTGAAACGTGGGCGAACGAGTCCGTGTGACCTCAGCCGGTTACTTGCGTCTGCTACGCGTCGATGCATAGGTGCCTTGTCCGCGGCCACGCTTCTGTCTGTCGTCCGGGAGTCCCAACGCGTGGCGTGCGAAGCAGCGGAGCACGGGACGGGCATGCCGCAGACGCATGGGCCTGAAATGTTCTGGGATTGGAGGATAAGCGGTCGTCTGCGGGGCCTGGGCTGTCCACGACCCGCGGGGGCCGTGCCGGAGGGGCGGTCGGGCGGCCTGCCGCAGCCCCAAGCCCGGCTGCGAGGCACGCTTGGCGCTCCATCCCCGGTTCCAGTCGCCATGCTTAGCTCCCCGTCGACACACGGGGCCCGGGGTCTCGCTCGCGCTCACGTCCTTTAAACCTTAGCGTGCCAAGTCCTGGGTTTTACGTTTGATGGCGGTGAGAAGGAAGAGGTCCAGGCTTTGGTCACTTTCACGGATTTTTAACAGAGCTTTCAAAAAATTTTGACTGTTTTAAACTTGCTAGTTGTAATTGTTTTACATAATTTGTTAATAAAAGAATTTCTTGAAAGATGTGTGCTTGTTTTGTTCTGTTCTGCTCGAGAAATGGGTTTCCCAGACCAGACCCAGGCAGAATGGCCTGACCCATCCGGCCGGGGCTGGGGCGGCCTCCGTGCTCTGGCTTTTGCTGGGGCCTCGGTGGACGCAGCCCCCGCCCCCCGTGTGGACCTGCCATCCTGGTCCTGTCTCCAGAGAAGACTTGCCCTCGTGTGGGCTCTCTGGCAGCTTGCTGTGGGTCGCAGGCTGGAGGCTTCGTGGAAGGGGGCCGTGGGCGTCATGGGTGGCGCTCTCCTCTGCTGCCCGTTGCCTCGTGGTGTCCTTGCGCTTAGCACCAACCTGACGCCTGGAAGAGAACGGGCAGGCGGGGACAGCCGTGCTGACCTGGAGGGAGTCACTTGAGCTCGGCCCGCCGCCGCACGCAGCTGCAGTCTCCCAGTCGGGTTTCTCAGACGTGAACTTATGGGATCTGGCCTCCGTGGGACTTTATCAAATGTGGGATCAGCTTGTGCATGCCAGTTGTTCTCATCACGAGCGTGCCCTGCTTCACGGCCGGGCAGCGGCTTCCCTGGAAGCTGCTGGGGAAAGCGGGGTGCAGCATGGCCCGCCCACACAGACGCCTGGTGGTGAAGACCAGTCGGGCCCGGGGTGTGGTGCAGACGGGCAGCCGGCCTGGGAGAGGCAGCTAAAATCCACGTCCTGAGCAGAAACTGGACGGTCACTTCAAGTTGTTCTAGAAATGCATCCATGGGGAAAAACATTTATAGCCGAGATGAATTTCGTTAGGTGTTTGTTGGTGGGATTGGCCCCCCTTTGGTGGAAAGGCTCCAAGGCCAAGCCTCATGGCCCTCAGGCTCACCTGGAGCCCGGGGGTTGCCCTGACAATGGGTGAGAGCACAGACGTAAAGGCTGGGCCGTGGTCTGGAGCCCGACCCCGCGTGCCCAGTGTGCAGCTGGCTTATGGCCACCGGGGCCTGGGCCACCCAGCTGCTTGGGGCCTCCCGAGCCACGTGTGGGGTCCCACGTGTGCGGTTAAGGACTGGCTGGGCTCCTGGGGCCTGCTGATGTCACCAAGGCAGGGCAGGTGGAGGAGGCGGCACGGGCCGGTCGCCTTGCCTGCCAGGAGAGCAGGGAGCATGTCATGCCCGCCGTTCCCACTGCCGGCCCCGCTGCTGGCCCTTCCCCGGCCCTGGGCAGCCCGGCCACGAGAGAGGTGGAACCCAAGGACCAGCAGCTCATGGTGAGCATCCTCCCCCGTGTTCCCGGATGGCCCTACGGCTGCGTGTCCCTGAGGCCGCCTCGTCCTGACCCACTGCCCGGTGCCCATCACTTGGCACAGGTCAGGTCTCGGGGTACTGGTCCCCGTCAAGGGCCCTACCTCTCCCCTGCCCCCCCAGCCCTGTGATCTCCCCAACAAGCTCCAGGCCCTGCGAGGGCTGCCCGGACCCGTGTGCTGGGGGGCTTGAAACTTCAGCCCACTTGGTGGTGGGTGGATGAGCTGAGGCCCGGGCCTTGCCCCACACCTGCCGGCTGGTTACCCTGGTTACCGGAGACCCCTGTCATGAAGCGGGGGCCCTGGTGCACTGGGAGAATGGGGAGCAGCCTCGGGGGGGCCCCTGGAAGGCAGCTGCCCTGGGGTGCTGCCCACAGGTAGCGCTTCGGATCCGCTCGCTCAGTGACACTGAACTGGAAGAAGGGGCCACCGTCACTGCCCACAAAGTGGGGGACCAGGTGAGGCTGCGGGGGCGTGGGCATGCAACCACGGGGTTGGGACGCTCACCTTCTGCATGCGCTTCACTGACCTGCTCCGACTGAAAAGGGCCCTGGGTGCTGAGGGTCACAGCGGGGTCTGCGGGGACCCCTGCTCCTTGGAAAGCCTGAGACGCTGGCTGAGCCGGGTTGCGGGAGTCACGTGGCAGAATGAATGCCAGATGTGGGGTAAGACATTTTGTCAGAGGAATTGGATTTTTCCACTTGTCATTAGAAAGGCAGCTCTAAGGAGGGACTGAACGTCGTGTCTGGAAGGTTTGCACTTCCGAGGCGAAGGTCCAGGAGGCTGGGGAGCCCTGAGTGCTCCTCCCCACTGGGTGGGGGTGCCCAGTGCTGAGCGGGCAGGTGGGGAGCTGCCGAGGGCGCCGTGCGAAGAGGGAACAGGGCGTCTCGGCTGCGCAGGCCCCTTGGGGTGCGCTGGGCAGAGGCTGCAGCGAAATCGTGCTGAGCTCGTAGACCAGGAAGCAGCACCCCGTGACCGCTGTTACGCGGGGCGGGGGGGCCGGGGTTGCACAGGACAGAATTCAGCTCAGGTGTGCAGAGTGTACGTGTTCGTACTGTGGAAGCAGCATCGATCCCGCTGAGGTCATGCTATAAGGGCTCAGGGATGCGACAGGAGACCCAGTGGGGCCGGTGTCACGTGGGCCCGGTGACCGCCCGCAGCAGGGACTGCCGTGTGCGCGGTCAGAGGTCCCATAGCTCTGAAGGCAGCGAAACAGTTTGCTGGAATCGACCGTGGTTCTCAGGATAGCGTCAGTAGTCCCCAGACCTCGGCACTGGCCCATCTGGGGACCGATGGACGTCCTCCCAGGGGAGCGCCCCCCCGTCCCCGGTGCCTCCCATCCTCCCTGATACTGGAGGTCAGAAGGCCCCCTTTTCGTCCTGCCGGCCACAGAGCTGGGAGGTGAGCGACCCACACGTGAGAAGTGTCCCCTGCTGGCCCTGGTCCCGGGCAGCTAACCCGTGGGCGTGAGGGCTCGGTGAGAATTTCTCCCACTTCCCTGGCTTTGGGGATCCAGTGACTTTAGGGAAACGACACTTCTGGATGGTGGGGAAAGGAAGTGGCTTTTGTGAGTTAGAGCTTCACGTGTCCCGGGGCCGTGGTCCTTCCAAAGCCTCGGACGTTGTGACCTGGTTGGTCTGCCCAGCGAAGGTGGGGCTGTGTGTGCGAGGGTGACTGCCCGTCACCAGGCCTCCCCGGGCCCTCACCGCCCTCCCTTCCCCCACATTCTGTTACAGGGTCCTCTCAGAGCCCACCTGGGGCCTGGCTCCAAGGCCGTCTCACTCTGCACTGCACAAAACACAGCTGGGGTTTTTGATAAAAACCGGAGTGAGACTCCTAACATTCGGTTCACTGTTTTAACCCGAGCAACTCAGGGGCCACTAGGACATGCGGCGTTGTGCAGACCCCACATCTGTCGGGTTCGAAACGTTTCCATCTCCCCAGAAGGAGCCCCTGCCCACTCCGAGCTGCTCCCATCTCCCCCACCACCGCCCTGGCCCCGGCCCCCGCTGGTCGGCTTGCTGACCGGAGTCCTGCAGGGCGTGGCCTGCTCTCACCCAACCCGGCGGTTCTGAGGCTCGTTTGCGTTTCCGTTTAACGCTGTGTCTTGATGTGACTTCACACCAGCCAGGGGCGGTGGGACCCGCGTATGAGCTCCCGTGTCGTCTGCAGCCATGTTTCCCACGTGGGGGTGCCTGGCCAGGTCTGCTCCATCCTCCTCTCCCTGTGTGTATGCGCTTCTTTTCCCTGGGCCGCCTGAGACATCGTGCCCTTCCACACCCAGAGATGTCTGTGTGTTCCTTAAAAACAGGGCCATTCTGTGACTCCAGGACAGCGCCAGAAGTCAAGACATTAATATTGATACCACCCAGTCTGCACGTGTGTTCACGGTTGGCTGATTTCTCTCAATCGTGTTACTTATAGCAAAGAAAAAAAATATTTTGGGGGGTACAAGAGCCATTGCCGCTGATACTTCTTGGACACTGAGCACATGATCGCTTGTACCCCTTACGGCCGTGGGTCCTGCTACCGTCTCCATCTTACAGATGGGAAAACAGAGGCCAGGTGGGTGGGGAAACTTGCCCATGGCCTCCCTGCTGGTGGGAGCCTGTTCTGAACCCACCCGGCACCCCGACATTCTGGCCTGGCTTACAGCGCACTCACGCGGTGGGAACTGCGTGGATGGGGGCTGCCCCCCGGGTCCCTTTCCTGAGAGCCTCTCCACGGCTGGATGGAGAAGAAGAGCATGAAGTTTGAAAATGGTTAGCTTATGTCATGGAAAACGTGCTGGCCTGAAGCCGGGGCAGGCCCCGGGGGCTCCCGGCCCCGCCTGACTCCCCAGGAACCTCTGGGCAGCCCTTGCCTCCTGAGGCCTCTGTTTCCAAAGCTGTGGACCAAGGGAGGAGTTGGCCAGGTGGCCGGGGGTGGGGGGACACAGGGTGGCCAGGCTCTTGGTCTGCCCAGTTGGGCCCCCAGGACTCCCCGGGGGCGCATGCCCCCCACTAGCCCAGGAGTAAACAGAGCTGATTGGTCTCTAGTTGCCCTGCCCCCCCCCCCCCGCCCCGTCCCCAGAGGCCCTCCTACAACTTGCTTCATAATTATGTATTTGTGTGAGAGGGCAGAGGCCTTAGGGAGGGGGCCACCGTGCACGCTGGTTTGGAGAAGCAGAGAGGGGGCTGCAGAGCTTGGAGGGTAGACAGGTGGGGCATGGACGCACGCTCGGGCAGCTCGGGGGATGGGGGGCATGGAGCACAGCAGCTCCTGCCATCCCTTCTTCCTGCCGTTCATCAAAGGGCCCTGTCCCTGTTGGGTGGGTGCTGGGGGACAGAGCTCAGCAGACCCCAGGGGTGCAGGAGCGTGGACAGGAAGTGGAGAGGGTGCCCGGGGCTGGAGGACCCCCTGCCTGGCTGAGCACAGAGGCCGGCTGCCCTCCTGGGACACAGACCAAGCCCCCCACCCCCAGTGTCCTCGAGCAAGGGCCAGGCCTGGCGTCCTTCAGGGTGCATGAGTCCGCCCTGATTCTGGGAGCAGCCCCTCCTCTGACACCTCCCTCCCGCTGCCCTAGATGGTGGTGCTCATGGACCCTGGCGAGGACCCCGAGGACACGCTGCGCGCACACCGGTCGCGGGAGAAGACCTTCATCTTCAACACTGTTTTCGACCAGCATGCGTCACAGGTACCCCGCGCCCCACGCCCCCTGCGTCCTCCCACGGGGCTTCACCAGACCCTGGAGCCCCCCTGGGAGGGCTTGGTGGCCAGGTGGTCCCGTCCATGACTTGTCACAGGAGTGTCCCTGCTGAACAACGAGGTTGGCACGTGCGCCGTCCCAGGGGCAGGTAGCGGGAGGCCCCGGGGTTCACACGCGTTCTCATTTGTCCGTCCGTCCAGACAACAAGGCGGGGTCCCCTCTGCCATGTGGCTGGAGCATGCTATGCTCCCTGCCCACAGGGGCCCCCCTGGGGCAGCAGCAGGGGACGAGGGGCCCAGGCGCAGGCTTCAGCCGGCCCCTTCCTCAGACGTTTGGGCCCAGCGTCAGGTCGCACGCACCAGACCCCCGCCTGGGAGAGCCCAGGGGGCCCGGCAGAGCAGGATTTGAACTCGGGCTTCTGGAGACGGGCTGTCGCACGGCCAAGGTATGGTGTCTGGGGGATGTTTGGCCCCGAGACCAGTCCAGCCCTGCCCGCCCTGCCCCTGCAGCTGCCCGCTGGGCCCCGGCACGGCTTGTCTCGGACACACCGGCCCTCCCTCGGGACGCGGCCGTAGCTAGAAAGAGGACGGATTTGCTCCGCGTGGCCGGCCGGCTGCTTTCTGAGCAGACTCGCGGCTTTCGCCCCTGAGATCTTCCTGGGGCTGCAAGTAGGAGGGGGCTGGCCATCAGCATCTGTTGAGCAGTGGCTGCCTGCTGTCCTGGCGCACATGGTCTTGCCAGCCCCTCAGCAGCCCTCTGCAACGTCCTGTGATGTGGTCCCCATTTTACAGACGGGGAAACCGAGGCTCCTCGCCTGAGGTCACACAGCTAGGGGGTTGCAGGCCAGCTCTCAGCCGCTGACGGTGTAAGTCCACAGCTCAGGAGAGCAGTCCCCGTGCTCAGGTCTGCCTCTAGCCGCCATGAGCCGCGTCGCTGGCCGGGGCTACTGGGACAATTTGGGGACGCCAGGAGCAGGGTCCAGATGGGCGCCCAGGAAGGGCAGCAGAGATGGGACTGTCGTTTCTGTCTGGGCCAGCCACGTCCACGCACCTGGAGGTGTCCTTTCTTGAATACCCCTGTGGGCAGGGAGCTTACTACCACACCTGTTGCTAGGCGTTGCTGCCTTATGTGGGATTCTGCAGGACTGAGGTGCTCAGGCGTCAGTCCTGGTTTTGTCCCAGGAGGAGGAGTCCTGATGCTCTTCCCAGACTTGCAAGTCCTGGGCTGCCTTCCGGTCCCAGGCACCTGTCGGGCTTCTCTCAGCTCCTGAGAAGCCCCATCGCGTCCAGCACCAGACCCGTGTCAGGCCTCGTGGCGGGAGCTGTCCTGCGCTCTCGTGTGATCCTCCCTGACGGCTGTGCTCTGGGGGCCCGGCCCCCTCTCAGCCCCTGGGGCGGCAGAGCGGCAGGACGGAGACTGCAGCCCACGCCCTGTCTAGACTGGCCCCCGCCTGAGGGTCCCGGCACACGCGTGTCCGACTCTGGCCAGGCCGCGCATCCCGCTGTCTGTCCTTCCATCCGTCCACAGGAAGACGTGTATCATGCCACCCCCCCAGCACCTGCTGGAAGGTGTCATTTCTGGATACAACGCGACGGTGTTTGCCTATGGCCCCTCAGGTACCGCCGAGGGCAGGGGCCTGGGAGGGCGCGGGGCTGGTGGCAGGGGCGCTCTCCCTCCCGGACAAAGCACCTGCGGTGCACCAGCATGTGCTGGTCTCCCTGCGCCCATTGGCTCCTTCCAGCCTCGTCGAGGCCCCACGGGCAGGTAGAGCGCCCCCTTGCCGCACGCAGGGAAGCTGAGCCTCGGGGGGCTCACACGGCTGGTAGGAGTGCATGTGGGGTCCAGCCGCGCCTGCACCTTGCTGCCCGCGAGGACCCACAGATTTCTCCATGAGGACGAGCAGTTGGGCTCAACACGGTCCACAAAGCTGAGCCACCTCTCGAGTCCTGAAAACTAGGATCACAGAGGGACGGGGCAGTTGGGGAAACGGAGGCTGGGAAGCGCCTGGTCCAGAGTCACAGCCTTTGGATGTCATCGGTTCGGTCAGTAGCCGTTAGGGAGCACCCGCTGTGTGCCAGGCTCTGGCGGAGGAGGGGCCGTCTGATCTTTCGGGAGCAGGGGCGGGGGCAGCGGTGTCCCTGTGACAGGCGTGAGTCCGGCAACTGTAGGAACGGCTTCCGCATCTTCCCTAGAGCTGGGGGAGGAGCACGCACCCGGTGGTCGCCCCTCATCCCGGCCCGTTTGGCCCACATCTGCGCTTCGGTCCCGTGTCTCCCGCGTCTGCGGTTTCTTCTGCAGGGGAGCCACTGGACTCTTGTGGGCTTCCCCCTGGTTTCCAAAACTGAAAACAAGCGCGTCTGAGTGTTCGGGACCGTTTGCCCAAGGTGGCGGAGGTCTGAACCATCTCGTGGTGGCGCGTGTCCAGGCGGGGTCAGAGCCTGCCTCAGGAGTCCCTGCCCTGGCGGCTGTCCTCCTGCCCACAGGCGCAGGGAAGACCCACACCATGCTGGGCACGGACGCCGAGCCCGGCATCTACCTGCAGACCCTCACCAACCTCTTCCGGGCCATCGAGGACAGCCGCGACAACGCGGACTGCAGTGTGTCCATGTCTTACCTGGAGGTGAGCCTGCCCACCAGCCTCGGGGAGACCTTGGCCCTCGGGGCGTCGGAGCCTTCTTGGGAGACCTACACCCTGTGCTGCCTTTGCCCCGAGGCTGCTGCCTGTCCCGCTTGTGTCTCTCCTCCCAGATTTATAACAAAGTGATCCGGGATCTCCTGAACCCATCCTCGGGGTTCCTGGACCTGAGGGAGGATTCTCGGGGCAACATCCAGATCGCAGGCATCATGGAGGTCTCCACCTCAAACGCCCAGGAGGTGAGGGGCATGGGGGCCCACGGAGGGAAGGGGGCCTGGGCCTCGGCAGCCACGCTCGCCAGAGCTCACGGAGCAGAGCTGGACACATGGCCCCGCGCTGTTTCCCGGCTAACGGGGTGCCGGACGGTGCACTCAGGGCAGACATCGCCGATAGATCACCGTTCTTCCCCCTGCTCCTGAGCCCCTTCCCACGCGGCGCCCCAGCCAGTCCCAGCCCGTCTGAAATCCCCCACATGCTCTGCGGTCCCAGCACCGCCTGGCACACGGCAGGTGCCCCGTCGAGGCTCATTGGCGTGGCTCCCGCCCGGCGGCTTACACACAAATGGGTTGCAGCCCACCTGCCAACCCCAGCGAGCCCATACAGGGTTCTGCGCTGGAAGGTTCTGGGACCGGCTCTCTGGGGAAGACGTGGGTGATCCAGTGGCCGAGTCTGCCCTGGCAGAGGAGGGGGAGGGCAGCACAAGTGTCTGGATTGGTTGGCTCCATCACTTAGTCGCTCCGTGCCGCAAACCAGAAATGGCTTGCGCTGGACGAAGTTCTGTTGCGAAGAGCTGCCCAAGAGGGCTCAGGGTCCAGCGCTCCCCCCCGGCCCCGTGTGGATCTGGAGGGCGCGTGTGGCTACCCACCCAACTCGCCTGTGTCCTCGGATCGTGCAGCTCCTCACCAAGGGCAGTCGGCAGCGCACGCAGGAGCCCACGGCCGCCAACAGGACATCCTCCCGCGCCCACGCCGTGCTGCAGGTCACCATTCGGCGGCGGAACCGCGGCGCAGACGCGCTGGAGGGAGTGCGTGTCGGGAGGCTCTTCCTGGTGGACCTGGCCGGCTCGGAGCGGGCGTCGCAGGTTCGCTGGCGTCCCCCCCGCCCCCTCTCACGCCCCCACAGCTACTCACCCTGCCCCTCCTCGTCCAACAGCCTCTGTGGCTCCCAGGGCAGCGCCGAGCCGCCTACGGAGTGAGTGGTCCCGAGTGTCGAGAGGCAAAGCCCACAGAGCCGGTATTTACAGATTCACGACTGCCACGTGGCAGGCTCTCCTGACCATGATCGGTGCCCAGACCCACCCCCAGGGAGTGCCGAGCCTCTGCGTGAGCCGATAATCACGGCACAGGGAGGCCTGTGCTTGGAGATTCCAGGTCCGCACAGAGGCTGGGGGGGGCCCGGAGGGGGGCCCGGTGGTGGCGTGCGGTCTCAGGGCCGAGCCTGAGAGGGTCATCAGGAGTTTGGTGGGGTGCGAGGAAGGGCATGTCAGATGGAGGGAACTGCGTGTGCAAAGCATGGCTGTTGGGAGGATGGCGCCCAGTGTATTCCAGCCCCGACAGTCCTTCCGAGGGTCCCACCTGCCTGCCCCCGAGCTCTTGGCTCGCCTGTGCTTGGAGGCACCTGTCGCTGGGAGCCGGGCTGTGCTTTACCTTGTGCTGCCGCAGTGGCCTGAGCGTTCCTTGAGGGCAGGACCCGGCCCAGGGCCGGGCACAGAGCGGTGCTGGACAGAGGCGTGTCCACACAGTAATGTTATCACCAAACCTTAGCAGGTGTAATCCCCCTAATCCCCCAGCACAGGATAAGGTGGGCAGCGGATGCGGGGCGGGACCCAGGCGGTGCCGCGACTTGGCCGTGCACGACGCGTTCGGTGCTGCATCCAGGCTTTGGACCTGGGCATCTTGCCCAGATCCCTGCGGTCCGCTGCTGTGATAGTTGTCCCCTGGTTTGCGCCAGATGCTCTGCGTCTTTGGGGTTTGACCACTGAGTCGTCTCATCCGTTCGCTGCCCTGCCCTCGGCGCTCCGGGAGTCGAAGTGAGCAGGGCCAGGGCAGCGGCCGGGGGCAGACTGGTCTGAAATGCCGTGTGTCCATAGACAAGTTGAGGCACGGTAGGGCCAGCAGACCCGGAGATGACCGCCGTTGGAAAGATAGTGCTACTCACAGTTTTCCAAGAAGAGGGGCCTCGGGATTTCACGCAGGGAAGCACCAGGGCCGGTCAGGAGGCAGAGGGAGGCCGCGCTGTGGGCGAGAACCCTCTGGTGGTTTCCCCGGGAAGGAACGGGCGAGGCAGGGTGAGCAGGCTCAGGTCCAGCTAGTTTGAGCAATTCCAGGGGCCTGGGGCATAATGGCTGTTTGTCTGGTCCCTGGCCCTGGGGTATTAGGGCAGGGGCCTGGCGTCAGGTGGCGGGGGTGTGGGCTCTGGGCTGGCGGTCTGCATTTGAAAGGCTTGTTCTGTATCTCCGGGAATTGGTAATGCTGGGAGGGCAGTCCCTCCAGGGTCAGCAAGGACTCCAGATGTCAAACATCAGAGCACGGAGAATAAAGGACATGGCTGACCCACGGACAGATGTGGGTGCAGACACGTTCATGCAGGGAGAGCCCCGTGTGACAGAGGTCTGGGACTCTGGCCTGTTCTAGCTGAGCCCGGCTGCGTCCACAGGACAAGATGGAGAGGGTTGCAGGGAAGGGGTCCAGGGTCTGGGTCCTTGCTCTCGCTCTGCTCTGACTTGCTGTGTGCCTTTGGGTAAGCCACTGCCCCTCTCTGGGCCTTGGTTTTGGTTTAGTTGTCTATTCAAGTGGCCTACGTGAGCGACTTTTACAATCTGCTTGGCTCTCACGAGCTGTCATTTCTTCATAGAAAATCACTCGTAAAAGACTTTGTTCTAGGGCACGAGGTCTCTGAGAAGGCCTTGAGCTCTGTGACCCAGACACCAGCAGCTGCGGTCCTGCCCTGCACCGGCTCCCACATAATGACCATAGTAGCTGGCGTTTACTGCTTGCCTCTGTGGGCCCAGGCCTGAGCAGGCCTGTTGCACATGTTGCGCACTAAATCCTCACCGTAACCCCATGAAGTCGGGAGATTGCCCATTTTGGCAAATGAGGAAGGTGGGACAGACTGGGAGATCTGTCAGAGAGTCGCAAACCATGCTCCAGGTTGTCTCCAAAACCCATGCCCTTAAAGAGAAAAAGAAATTTTTTTTTTGTTTTTTGATTTCCAATGTATTAGAAACACAGCACAGAAAATGTGGAAAATACGGGCAAGGGGAAGAAAGTTAGAGTCCCTGCCGTGCTTGCACTCAGAGGTGTTCATCCCGAGGGCATTTTGGCTCCTTCGTGCGGACCCCGCTGAGGCCTGGGCTCCGGGGACGCTTGGCCTCCATGGAGCCTGGGATCCAGTGGGGAGCGGGAGGGAAGACGGATGCGGCAGAGAGCAAGGCAGCTGCCGGGGAAGTCAAGCGGTGGAGGAAATAGGCTGGGGGACCGGCTGCCATGGTCCCCGCTTCAGAGAGTGAGGTCGGGGTGCCCCTGCACGTGGTCACTGTCAGCGCGCAGATCGGCCGTGTCCCCTCCACACAGAGTCCTGTGTCCTCGGGGCCCCAGCTGGTGCGGTGCGAGCGGTCTGAGCTGCTCGGGCCCGGGTGGGATGGGTCAGTGCACCGCCCAACGTCTCCTCTCCCGCCCAGACCCAGAACCGCGGCAAGAGGAGGAAGGAGGGCGCCCATATCAGCCGCTCCCTGCTGGCTCTGGGCAACTGCTCAACGTGCTCAGCGAGAAAAGTGGCCGCCGGGCACAGTACGTGAACTTCCGGGACAGCAAGCTCATGCGCCTGCTGAAGGTACAGTTGCCCGCCCGTGCGGGGCCTCCCTGCCAGGGGGACGCCCAGACCTGGGTCTCAGGGCCCCTCCAGGAACCCCTGGAGGCACGAGAACCCTGTAGAAACCAAGGCTGGTCACTGCCTGACTCCTGCTCCATCCCTCTGAGTAGGGGCCAGCCTGGGCTTGCATGTTCCCAGCCACAGGGAGCTCACTACCTTACTGAGGCCTCCTGTCCCATCTTGGATGGTCAGTGAGACAGTCCCCTCTGTTCTGAGCTGGACACTGTTCCCTCTATTCCGTAGCAAGGGTGTAGGTGAACAGACAGGCAAAGCAATACGTAAACGTTCCCGTGGATTCGGCTTCGCAGTCTACTCTGTTCTCATCAGAGCAGAAGTCTGACGGGGTGGGCCGGGAACAGATCTCACTTCGTCCTAGCGTCCCCTCCCTGAGCACCAAACCCTTGGTCCTGGCATCACCTGCCTTTCTCCGGGTTTGGAGCAGGAACCGCAGAGGGCTGGTCCAGAGGGGCCTGGGACGGGAGGTGGGGGCCCCGTTCCCCTTACCCCCACCTTGGACCTTCCGCTGAGCAGGACGCCCTAGGAGGGAACAGCTGCACAGTGATGATCGCGCACATCAGCCCAGCCAGCACGCCCTTCGAGGAGTCCCGGACCACCCTGCTGTACGCCTACAGGGCAAAGAACATCAAGACGCGGGTGAGGCCCCCACTTGCTAAGTTCTCACTCGCGCTCCCTCTGGAGCCTCTAGGGGAGGGTCCCTTCCACCTGGGGCTCCTGGCCATGCTGGGCGTGTGGTGCTTGACCTCTCTGTTTCTCCCTTCTCTTCTCTGATGGGGACACTGGCCTTGGGTTTCAGGCCCCCCGAATCCAGGAGGGTCTCATCTCAAGATCCCTAATTACGTCTGGGTTTGGGGTGTTTACGACATGGACTTAACCGACCTCCAGGCGCACTGTGAGCACTAGATGTCTTGATTTAATTCTTTACCTCCTTCTCCCCGGGAAGTGGGACCTGTCATCAACCCGTTCTGCAGCCTGGGCAGCTGAAGCGCGGAGAGAGAGAAAGCCACTTCTCCAGCCTTCCAGAGCCCGAGCAGAGCTGGGCATTGTGGCGCAGAGCGCCTCGATCTGGAGGCTGCACTGCTGTGCTCGGTGCAGAGGACTCGCGTCACAAGGCTGGACGCAGGCTCAGGGACACATTCTAGTGGTCAGCGAGTGGAGGTGTGATCCTCGCCAACAAACCTGGGATGAGCCCTTCCTGCCGCGGGCTCTGAGCGAGGCGCCAGGACAGCCTCTCTCTTAGCCGAACCTCGAGCTTCGCTGCGGGGCGAGGCAGATGACAAACACGACCCCCCACAGATGAGTACGTCCCTTCCAACTGTGGTCCGTGCTGTAAACGGGAGCCACGGGGTGCTGCAAAGAAGAGTGGCTGAGAACATGGAGTTGAGAGGCTCGGTCAAGGACGCAGGGCCCCGAGTGAGGGAGGGCAGGGTGTGCAGACGCGGGGTGGTCGAGCGCCTCTGTTCAGCCTGAGACCAGCACTTGCACCCTCCAAACCCACCAGAGAGAAACTCGGACCCATGTGCTCTACTCGAAAGCCCCAAAGTGCCCATGGAAGGGGACAGGGCGTGCAAACTGGTACGTCCCTCCCGTGGACCACTGTGCAGCTTCAGAGAGAATGGGGTAGACCCGTCTGTGCGGACAGACGGCCTCCCGGCCACAGCGCTGGATGAGGAAAGCAAGTTAGAGAAGAATAGCTCTGGGGGGCGCCTGGTGTCCCAGTAGGTGGAGCGTGCGACTCTCAATCTCAGGGTCATGGGTCCAAGCCGCACGTTGGGCTGGAGCCTCCTTTAAAACAACAACAACAACAACAACAAAAAACACAACAACGTGAAAAAGAAAATAACAGCCCTGGTCTGATAAGATTTCCATAAAAAACCAAAGCCAAGCCTACACCAAGAAACTCCCCGTGTGTGTCTCTGCAGATACGTATATACACACAAAACCGCACAGAGGACGGTCCAGAGGGCACAGATGAAAGTGATCGCAGTGCTTACCCAAGGGGAGGGGTTTTAAAAAACTCTTGACGGATCATTTGAAATTTCTCGACTGTGGCAAAATACACATGACATAAAATTTGCCACTTTAACCATTTCTAAGCGTCCAGTTCAGGGGCACCATCCCCCCCCATCCAGCTCCAGAACATTCCATCCCGTACACAGAGACCCTGTCCCCGTGATGCACGGACCCACCCCCCCACTCCCCCAGCCCCGGCCCCACCATCTACTCTCTGTGTCGGTGAGTCTGGCGACTCTGGGATCTCGTGTGAGTGGGGTCCCCGTGCATGTCCTTCTGTGTCTGGCTCGTGTCCTTGGGGCTCGTCCCTGTGGGGGCAGGGGTCCGGTTCCCTTTGTCTTTAAGGCTAAGTTGTATCGATCTGAGTTTTCCTAACAAAATGTGCCAGAGTCCTTGTAGCATGAATACCCCTCGTGGCGGGGCAGTTCCCGCTTGCTCTGACCTTGGCCGTGGGTCCCACCCACCAGGTGAAGCGCAATCTCCTGAACGTGTCCTACCACATCGTGCAGTATACAGACGTCATTTCTGACCTGCGCAGGGAGATCGAGCGCCTCCAATCCAAAATTGAGACGCAGGAGGTGGAGAAGAGAGGTGAACCCGGCATCCGGGATGTGTGAGGTAGAGCCGAGCTGCTGGGGCCCCTGTCGTTTTGCCGTCCCCTGCCTGGGACTCATGGCTGTGGCCGTGGGCTTCAGTCCCAGCCCACCATGCGCTGCCTTCCATCTCCTGGCCCGCAGCATGCAGGGCAAGCGGCCGCCTTCCCTGTCTTCTCCTGAGCTCTTCCTTCCTACCTTTCCTCTCCTCTCACCTCCCCACTTTTTTGTTTCTTCCTTCCTCCCAGATCCGTTTTTCTTTAAAAACATAATCTTCCATTCCGGAATAATTTTAGATTTACAAAAAAAAGTTGCAGGTAGTACAGAGAGTTCTTCACTTCCTCTAATGTCAGCATCTAAATTTGTATTTATTTACTGAGGCAAAGCTCACACAACTTAAAATTCACCATCTTCACATGCACAGTTCCACGGCATTCGAGGCTCATCCACAGTGCCGTGTGGCCACCACCTCCATCTGGTCCCGGAGCATTCCTGCCTCCCCAGAGCAGACCCCATGCCCATCACACAGTTTCTCTCCATTCCCTGCTTCTTCCCAAACCAGCCTTCGGTAGGCCTACCTTAGGGGTGAGCATATCATAGCTCTTCCAAAAATTATAAAACTAATCAGTAAGTTAAAAAGGTACCCTTAAAAATGCCGGTAAGAAAGTCAGGTATACGTATGTGTGTATATATACAGACATACCTATATACATATGTGTTCTTTTAGCTGATTAAGATACGCTTTGCCATAATAAATAAAGGACTTTTGAAAACCAATAAGAAAGAACCAGCAGTCCAGAACTGAGTGAGGAAATGAATAGGTGATACAGAGAATTCCTAGTGGCCAATAAACACAGGGAAAGTTTTTTTTTTTTTTAAGATTTTATTTATTTATTTGACACAGAGAGAGATAGCAAGAGCAGGAACAGAAGCAGGGGGAGTGGGAGAGGGAGAAGCAGGCTTCCCGCCGAGCAGGGAGCCCGATGTGGGACTCGATCCCAGGACCCTGGGATCATGACCTGAGCCGAAGGCAGACACTCAACGACTGAGCCACCCAGATGCCCACAGGGAAAGATTCTTAATTGCGTCAGGAAACAGACACACATTGAAACAATTTTCATTTATCGGGTTGGCTAAAGCCACAACGTCAGGTCCTAGTAAACGGATGCTATAATGCAGGATGAAGATGGCAGCAGGAACCCTCCTCCTGGACGTGTGAATTACCCTGTGTCTTTGGGAGGCCAGCTTAGTGGCAAATGTTCACACTTACAGTGTGTGTGCTCCCTGCCCGGGCCCTCTCAGCCCTCCAGATCTGCGACGAGGCACATGCCCTCCTGTGCCCAGGAGGCTCTGGGACCGTAGTGTGCCCCCCAAGGGGGTCCGGATGAGCAAACTGGTGCGTTAGGGAGGGGAGGGCAGGGCAGGCCCGTCTGTGCAGCCCAACCCCGTGCAGGCATGCGGCATCATCTGTTTTTTGTTACGGGAATTTCCAATACTGGTGGAGGAGAAAGGCCAGAATGGCAGCCCCCGACCAGAGCCGCCACTCCTTGCCAGGCTCACTCGCTCTGTCCTCCCACGCGTCCCCCATCCCATCATCTCGAAGGGTTAGGGTTGGTAGGTGTGCATGTTTCTAGCAAGCCCATTGGTGTCATCGGGCCACACCTCAAATGTGGTCTCTTCTATTAAGCGGGCATCCCCTCTTCCTTTTTGTGGTTTTCCTTTTGATTCTTGCTGAAGAAACTGAGTCATTTGTCCCGTGGATTTGCCGACAGCTCTGTGCTCTGAGTTCCTATAAATCAGTAGTTGTATCTAAATGTTGGGAAGAGGGGGCGTTCCCTGAGGCCACTGCTGTCATTTTGATGTGAGCCTGTCTGGACTGTGTTCTGTGCAGCGTCCCCAGAGAGGGACACGTGGTTTGTGCGCATGTGCGCGTGGGGCAGGGGATCGGCTTCGGGCTGTTAGGTAAGTGACACCAGCCTGTGGCCGTTGCTCTGTTCCTTGTTTTCCTCACCCAGCGGTGAGTCCTGGGGGCCGTCCACCTGCGCAGTGGGTCTGCCCCATTCTTTCTAACAGCCGTGGAGCATTCCACTAGAGTCTGAGTATCTCATCCTCCTTGATGGGTCTTTTGGGGGCTTTCTAGCTACTCAGCCTCCTTGGGCACGTGGGTGCCCATTTGTCTTAGGTGATTTGGAGGGCTCAGGGTTCTGTTGGAGCAAGAAGGTGAAGGAAGTGTTCCATGAAGAGGGGCTGTTGTTGATGGCAGACTGAGTCCCACGGGGCCAGTGGAGGGCTGGGAGGCCGGTGGGGGTAGAAGATGGGTTGTTGTAGAGAATTTGCAAAGCTAGGTGGTGACCAGGACGCTTCGGCTTCTTTGGGGCCGGGGTTGAATAGGGATGCATGCCATAAGGGCCTTCACTCTGATGGCCTCTTAATTATTGGGGCTGGTCCTAGGTGGTCTGTACTGGGGAGGCGGGCAACATCGTAAGGGGGTGGTGGTCTCATGGTGAGCCCTGAGGGTGTGATGGGCTTCCCTTGCGTCCTGTGGCAGTGGGACACTGTGTGCATGCCTCTGCCAGGAGCATTATGAGAATTTCCAGGGTACCGACTACTCCCCCAAAATCTTGTTGTAATGACTACAAGGGTCCAGTCTCTGGACGCATTGCTCATTTTGCCCATCTCAGATCACTTGGCATTTAAGGAAAAGGTGCCCCTTGATCCCCGCCCTCCAGGTCAGGGGAATAGACCATGTGTGGCCAGAGTGGAGCTACCAATGGGGCAGTCAGGGAATACCATCAATTAATCGTGGACAACTATTAGGTAGGGACTTACATGGGAAACAAAAAGACAAAACTAGTTTGTTCTGTGGAACTTACATTCTAGCAGGAAAGAGGTGTCAAATGTGTCACAAAACATTTATCAATTATCGATATGCAGAGGACTGTGAAGGAGAAGGCAGGATGTTATCAGAACAAGTGGCAAGTGGACCCAGCTTGAGAATCTGGGAGGGTTTCCATGAGGAAGTGAGGTCTGAGCTCAGATGGCTAGCAGTCACACCCCTCCTTGGATCCCTGAGACTCAAATCCAGGTAATCTGACCCCAAACCAGGCAAAGAGACCATCTAAACCATCCATCCAATTATCTACCTATCCACCCACCTATCCATCTATCCATCTCTCCATCCATATCTCCACATCCATCTCCTCATCCATCCATTATTCATGCATCTATTCATCTGTCCATCCATCCATCCATCATTCACCCACCGATTCATCCATCCATCATCTACTGATCCATCCATCCATTATTCACCTACCGATTCACCCATCCATCCCATCATCTACCCATCCATCCATCCATCCATCCATCCATTATTCACCTACCCATTCATCCATCCATCCATCCATCCATCCATCCATCCATTATTCACCTACCCATTCATCCATCCATCCATCCTCTACCCATCCATCCATCCATCCATCCATTATTCACCTACCCATTCATCCATCCATCCATCCTCTACCCATCCATCCATCCATCCATCCATTATTCACCTACCCATTCATCCATCCATCCATCATCTACCCATCCATCCATCCATCCATTATTCACCCACCCATTCATCCATCCATCCATCCATCATCTACCCATCCATCCATCCATCCATCCATTATTCACCCACCCATTCATCCATCCATCCATCATCTACCCATCCATCCATCCATCCATCATTCACCCACCCATTCATCCATCATCTATCCATCCATTATTTATTTATTTATTTGAGAGAGAGCAAGAGAGCAGGAGCAGGGGAGCAGAGGGAGAGGGAGAAGCAGTCTCCCTGAGCAGGGAGCCCGACGCAGGGCTTGATCCCAGGACTCTGGGATCATGACCTGAGCTGAAGGCAGACGCTTAACCGCTGAGCCACCCAGGCACCCCTATCCATCCATTATTTACCCATCCATTGTCCATCCATCCATCCTTCACCCATCTATCCATCCATCCATCCATCCAAACATGTGTATGGAGTTCCTCCTTGGTGCAGACCCTGTGTTGGTGGGCAAACATGGAGTTCAACCCTGGCTTAGGTAGCACTGCTCCTGGGGCAGCTGGCTCTCTTCCTGCCCCCAGTCATGACTCCCCCCTACAATGGAGAGGAGGATAGCCGCCTGCAGATGAACAAGATATGGGCGCAGCTCATCGGGGCCTTCAAGGAGCAGTTGGAGATGCGGCGCAGCCTGGTGGAGCTGGAGAACACCAATATAGAGCTGCACGTTGACACATCACGCCACCTGCTGACCATTGCAGAGTGAATGTGCCCGCTTACCATCCCCATGGGGCAAGGAGGCCAGCCAGAACACGAGGAGTTCCTCTTGTGCGCTCATCCAGCTTCTCTCTACAGCCTGCAGGTTGCCAAGGGGGAACTTCAGTGAAGGGCACCCTCTCTTCCCGGGCAGGACTCCTGGCCCAATCCCTCCCTGCTCTCCTGCCCCTGTAGCTAAGCTGGGCCGGGTGGGGAAGGCTTCCAGGTCCCTGCGATCTCTCTGTCCCACGCTGGAGTCCAGAGCCAGCCCTGGCAGGTTAGGATCAACCCCATTTCACAGAAGAGGACGTTGAGGCTCAGAGGGGATGTGGGTTTGCACACCCACCAGGCCAGGACTCTTCTGCCGTTCCACACGTTCTCGCTATTTGTACCTACTGTGAATAGACTGACCACATATGGAGGGACTGATTGTGCTGTTTGTCATCTGGAGTGGGACGCGTTTGAAGGGGGAAGGGGTGCTATTTACAGTCACACGGGGAGCAGGTGTGCCCAGTCCTGCCCTGCACAAAATGGGACGCCTGGCTTCCCCTGCTTGCGGTAACAACGCTGAGCGCTTTCTTGTCCTGTCCTCCCCACGTTTCTCCTCCTCCTGCTGTGCTTCCTCCTTTCTGTTTATTTTCTGAGTTATACAAACAGCGTGATATCTGCACTGGGGGAATTCTTACACCAGGAAATGTCCTCCCTCCATGCGTTGCGCCCAGCCCTGCTGCTGCTGTTCTGTCCTCCCTTCCTGCCGTTCTTCCCCCATGGTGCCCATTGTGCCCCTCTGAGGTTTTGCCCTGAGCGGGGTCATCACGTCCATCCTCAGAGCCCCGCTGTACTCTTGCCCTCCTACGGCCGAGGGCGCTGGGCTCAGTGGGGGCGCGTTTGCATACAGGTGGCCCGAGGTCCCCGGGCAGAGCTGGGCTTGGAGGCAGGGGAATCCTGTGCTTAAATCGTCCGGCAATCCTACTTGATGGTCACTGCCTCTTTATTTCCTTCCAGTTTTTGTTCATGCCTTTTCGTGTTTTACAAGTGTAGAAGAGACGAGGCTGCAGACCCGATTCTGCCCAGGCCTGCGGGTAGACCAGCCTGGGCGTGGCTTGCACCCTGACCCCGGACCCCTCTGTTGCTGTTGCAGCTGGGAGCGGGAGGAGACCCACCAGCACACGCACAGTGACGGGACGCCAGAGAGGGACGAGGAGCCGGCAGAGGCCGACGCGGATGGGGACGAGGGCGAGTCCGCGGAGCCGCTCGAGGTGGCTCTGGCCAGAGAGGACGTCAACATGCTTCTGGCCGAGCAGCGGAAAACCGCGGCCCTCAAGGGGGGGGAGGGGTCTGCAAATGCAGGTCACAACAGGCGTGTGACCACAGCGCCGTACTGCAGACAGGGGGTGGCTCAGGGAGGTGTTCCGCGTCCCTGGGGGCAGGAGGAGCCGAGCCGGGACGGGACCTGGGCCGACCGCAGAGTCCATGCCCTTCCCGCTAGTGACGGCCACAGGGGGCCGCAGGGGGCGGCGGGGGTCAGTGCGCAGCAGGGGCGGCCCTGGCTGGAGAGCCCGGGGTCCGCACAGTGGTTCCCGTGCACAGGTGTCTGTTCAGGCTCGTGGAGGAGGCATCTGATGAGGTCACGCTGCTGGCGGCAGGTGGCACTTACTTCGCTTAAAAACCACGTAGCCAAGCTGAGAACTCCTTACATTGTCGCATCTCCCCGAGCAGTTTGGAGATGATGCGATCTCACTTCGAAAGTCCGCCAACATTTAAAAATAAGAAAAATGCCTTTTGCTTAAACCAGGAATGTGCATCAGCAGAGAGCATGACTTCAAGAGTCAAATACAGGCATTGAGATGCAGCGTAGCATGAAGACAGGAGTCCATTAATTAGTTAATTAATTTGTGAAGCAAAAACAAATCCATGTTTCAAGTGTCCCCCCGTGTGCCAGGCCTGGGGACGTAAAGATGAAAAAGACCGTCTCCGTGACTTACGCTGTCGGTGTGCCGGGCTCTTCCCATCATCACGGACAGCGTAGTGTTGCGGTAACAGACGTGGGCAGGCGGCTGGGGGCTGGTGGAGCGGCTGCGGACTCAGCCGGGGGCCAGGGAGGACCTCGGGCGGAGGGGCGGAGGGGCGGAGGGCCGTGCTGGGGAGCTGAGCCAACTCCTCCCGAAGCCGCCCCCTCCCGGTCTCAGAAGAGGAAGTGAAAGGCTGGAGCACGCGGTCCTGGGCCGCACCGGGGGTGTCATCCCACCTGTGCCTGGGACCGGGGTCCGGGGGATGGGCACGCACGGCAGCTTCGGCTACAGCACTGGCTTCCCACCGTGGACACAGCAGTGAGGGCTGAGTCCTGGCGTGTGTTCTAAAGTGTCGTGTGTTCATAGACAGTCTGAGGCACAGTAGGGCCGACAGACCAGGAGATGACCGCCGCTGAAAATCTAGTCCTACTCACAATTCCAGGAGGAGGGTGCGCGGGGTGCCACATGGGGCTGCAGGGGACGCACAGGGCCGGTCCGGAGGCAGAGGGAGGCCGCACGGGGTGAGAGCCTTCTCGTGGTTTCCCCGGGAAGGAGGGGCGAGGCGGGGTGAGCAGGCTCAGGCCCGGCTAGTTTGAGTAATTCCAGGGGGCTCTGGGGCTGAGGGGCTGTCCTGGGTGTCTGCTCCCTGGGGGATTAGGGCAGCGGGGACAGTGGCCCAGAGCGTGAGAGCCTCATTTAGGAGGGGGTTGGGGTGCAGGCTCTGGGTTGGTTGGTCTGCTTTTGAGACGTGTGCTCCTGGGCGGGTGGTTTAGGATCCTCAGGAGCGAGCTCACCTTGGGAGGGGCAGTCCCTCCAGGGTCGGCGAGGCCCCAGGTGTGAGAGCATCAGAACGCAGACGATAAAGGGCGTGGTTAGCGCAGGGCTATGGCCACACGTTTTCGTGAGGCTTGGGTGCAAGGCCGAGCCCCGCGGCACGCGCCGGCTGGGAGCACGGACCGCAGGCGCCCGCCCGAGCGCCCCGTGCCCCGCAGGCCGGGCTGGAGCAGCGGCTGGCTAATGCCAAGAGGAAGGCGCTGCAGCTGGAGAAGCTGCTGCCCACGCAGGTCATCAGCGAGGACCAGCGGGAGGTTCTGCGGCTGCTGTGCTGGGCCCACGAGCTAGAGCTGCAGAACACCGAGCTGCAGGCCGGCAAACTCCGCCGGAGGCACCTGCTCTGTCAGAAGGACTTCGTGATCCAGCGTCACCACCAGCACTGGTGGCTTTGCGAGCAGCTCATCCACGACCTGTGGCAGCTGATTCAGGGTGAGCCGCCCCGCCCCGGTCCCAGAAGGGGGAGGTGGGCGCCGCACGCACGTGCTCGGACGAAATCCCGGTCCCCGGGGCATAGGAGGGGACCCCCGTCGGCCTTTAGCCAGCCCTGTCCCCGGCCCTGTCCCCCAACCCCTGTCCCCAGCCCTGTCCCTGGCCCTGTCCCCCAACCCCTGTCCCCCAGCCCTGTCCCCTGCCCTGTCCCCGGCCCCTGTCCCCCAACCCCTGTCCCCCGGCCCTGTCCCCTGCCCTGTCCAACCCCTGTCCCCAGCCCTGGCCCTGGCCCCTGTCCCCCAACCCCTGTCCCCCGGCCCTGTCCCCTGCCCTGTCCCCCAACCCCTGTCCCCAGCCCTGTCCCCGGCCCTGTCCCCCAGCCCTGTCCCCGGCCCTGTCCCCGGCCCTGTCCCCCAGCCCTGTCCCCGGCCCTGTCCCCCGGCCTCGTCCCCGGCCCTGTCCCTGGCCCAGTCCCCCAACCCCTGTCCCCAGCCCTGTCCCCGGCCCTATCCCCCAACCCCTGTCCCCCAGCCCTGTCCCCTGCCCTGTCCCCCGGCCCCTGTCCCCCAACCCCTGTCCCCCGGCCCTGTCCCCTGCCCTGTCCCCCAACCCCTGTCCCCAGCCCTGTCCCTGGCCCTGTCCCCCAACCCCTGTCCCCCAGCCCTGTCCCCTGCCCTGTCCCCCGGCCCCTGTCCCCCAACCCCTGTCCCCCGGCCCTGTCCCCTGCCCTGTCCCCCAACCCCTGTCCCCAGCCCCGTCCCCGGCCCTGTCCCCTGCCCCGTCCCCGGCCCTGTCCCCGGCCCTGTCCCCAGCCCTGTCCTCGGCCCCTGTCCCCCAACCCCTGTCCCCCGGCCCTGTCCCCTGCCCTGTCCCCCAACCCCTGTCCCCGGCCCTGTCCCCGGCCCTGTCCCCCAGCCCTGTCCCCGGCCCTGTCCCCGGCCCTGTCCCCGGCCCTGTCCTCCGGCCCTGTCCCCCAGCCTCGTCCCCAGCCCTATCCCCGGCCCAGTCCCCCAGCCCCGTCCCCAGCCCTGTCCCCTGCCCTGTCCCCCAACCCCTGTCCCCAGCCCTGTCCCTGGCCCTGTCCCCCAGCCCTGTCCCCTGCCCTGTCCCCAGCCCCTGTCCCCCAGCCCCTGTCTCCCAGCCCTGTCCCCTGCCCTGTCCCCCAACCCCTGTCCCCGGCCCTGTCCCCGGCCCTGTCCCCGGCCCTGTCCCCAGCCCCATCCCGGCCCTGTCCCCCAGCCCCGTCCCCTGCCCTTTCCCCGGCCCCTGTCCCTCAACCCCTGTCCCCCGGCCCTGTCCCCTGCCCTGTCCAACCCCTGTCCCCAGCCCTGTCCCCGGCCCTGTCCTCCAGTCCTGTCTCCCGGCCTCGTCCCCAGCCCTGTCCCCGGCCCTGTCCCCCAGCCCTGTCCCCTGCCCTGTCCCTGGCCCCTGTCCCCCAACCCCTGTCTCCTGGCCCTGTCCCCTGCCCTGTCCCCGGCCCTGTCCCCCAGCCCTGTCCCCGGCCCTGTCCTCCGGCCTCATCCCCGGCCCTGTCCCCGGCCCTGTCCCCGGCCCCGTCCCTGGCCCTGTCCCCCAGCCCTGTCCCCTGCCCTGTCCCCGGCCCCTGTCCCCAACCCCTGTCCCGGCCCTGTCCCCCAGCCCTGTCCCCCGGCCCTGTCCCCAGCCCTGTCCCCCGGCCCTGTCCCCGGCCCTGTCCCCAGCCCTGTCCCCAGCCCCCGGCCCCGGGTGTGAAACACTCCACAATGAGAGGGAAGGCCAAGCACAGTGTCAGAAATCCACTCAGACGCACACGCGGGGCACAGACCATCCATGGGGGAGTGCGGGTAGCCCCGTCTCTGGAAAATTCTCCTTTATCAGGTTGGAATATCTGCCTTCAAACTTCCAAAAAAAGAAGACACTGTCTTTCGCCCAAGTAGGGATGTCTGGCCATCTGTGTGCTTTCCTGGGTCCTGCAGATCCTGGTGCCGGAGGCCCTGGACCGGCGCTTCCGCTGGTACTCGCGGGAGCTGGGTGAGGGCTCGCTGAACCGTCTCTTGTTGCTGCACTTGGTCACGTCCAGCTCCCTGCAGGTGAGTCGCCCTGGGGCCCCTCCCGCCAGCCCCGCGAGGGGACTGACCCTGACATGGGGGCAGGAAACTCAGGGAGGGCCGGAACCAGCAGCTCCAGGCCGCCCGAGCCAGTGGCCGGGCTTTGGGGAGGTTTCGGGGGGCGCCCGGAAGCTTTGCGAGGGGGGTGTTCCGGGGCTGAGCCCGGGGCCAGTGTGCCCTTCATCCCACAGGCCTGTGCCCCTTGGCGGGCGGCTGCAGATTCCGTGCGGGAGACAGAGGGCGGAGGGGAAGGAAGCCAGAGCGTGGTGTGGACCGTGGTGCCTCGGGGACCCCGGGAGGGGCGTCTTCTGGGGACCTCAGTCGGTTTAGCTCTCTTCTGGGGCGTGCTGGCAGTCTCCTGCATGGTGGGGGCGTCTGGGGTCGATTCTGGGGGCTCCCCAGGGAAGAGGGTGAGGGGAGGGCCCTGCATCCCGTCTTCGGAGGACTGCTGTTGTCAGTAGTTGGACCCCTGCCTGCAGCTAGGGCCTGCTGCCCTGCCCCCCTGCTTCACCTTCTCAGGGGAGAAAAGAGAGCCCCCCAGGCTTCAGGCAGAGCAGGCAAGGGGCAGTGGCCCAGAAGTGTGGCACGGGGCAGGGTCCAGGGATCCAAACGTGTGTAAAGCCGCTTCCCACCCCGGGTGAGAGGTCCCCGGTACCCGCGTTGTCTGTACCTTTGGGGGCCATGGGATCTGAGAGCTCCCTGCTCCCCGCAGAACACGGCTGCTGGGGGCTCTCCTCCCCACCCCTGCCATGTGTCCTGTAGTGCATCTCAGGGTCCCCAGGACCACCCCCAGGCGCACTTCTCTAGACGCGCTTCCAGAACTCAGGAAAGCTGTTCTACTGAACCGCAACTCCGTCCCCAGGGAGCACGCAGCCCCTGCGCCACCGTCTACTCTCTGTCTTTATGGGT